ACTGTCGATTTAAGCGCATTTAGAGACAATTTGCGATTCTTGAACATGTAACGTGGCTTATAACCATCCTTATCCGCTGTGTACATCGTCACCGTTTCGGTTTCGCTCTTCTCATCGTAGACCGTATAAGAACCCATGACTACGAGATGTTCATCATCGGTACCCGGATTCATTACCATACCAATCTCTTCGCGTTTGCTGCCATTCGGTTCTTCCAAGCTTAAACCATATAACTTTACTTTAGTTGAATCATAAAACATTTGACAAAATATTTGCTTACTTGAACCGGTAACCTTCCCTTGTTGGTGCTTTACTATAGAATTTCGTAAGTATAGTTGGAGAGAGAGAGTCCAGCAAGCCAGCATTGCTGCTTATAATGAAGGTTGCCAGGATGGCAATAAGTAAGAACTGGAAAGAAAATAAGTTTAGTTTCATCTACTACATATGTACATACATATCTGTGGACTTTTGACACAACAATTTTTTGCATTCCGTAGGTTGGATTTAGAGTTAATTTTAAGGAACTTCCAAATAAAAATTTAAAATTTTTTTTTATTTAACTTAGATTAAGATAGCATCTTAAGCTACTTCTATTAACGGTCAAAAATAGAAATATTACATGAGATCTCAGTTAATTATTGCTTTGGAGAGAAAATGATCTCACTCGAGAGAAGTTGTTTTGTCAAATGTCCACAGATATATATATTTAACAAAATCAGTTATTTGTACATATGTCATGTTTTTTATAAACTTATGGAAACACTTTTCGATTGCTTCATTGGTGTTGTAATTATTATTAAAATTATTCACAAATGCCAAGCTCATGATTTCATATCCATAAAATGGTTATTTAGCTGTTCACTGAACTTCTGAGACAACTGCAGGTGCGATTTGAATGGACCCGAAAATCGTTTGCGTAGGCAAAGCCCGCGGGTACGGGCCGAAATATTTGCTGTCAGCACGAACTCGTGCGGGCCTGGCCCCACTAATATTCTTAACGTGCGAGCTTGTGCGTGTTTTTGAAAGTTGATTTTGCACTCGTGCCCATCTCTACTTCATACCAATATAAGACTTTTCACTGTATGAAAACTATCCGGTTATTCCTTAGTTTCAAAATTGGGAGCCGGTTTTTTTGAATTTGCAATTTTTCGAATAACTCGCAAACCAGTTTTGTAAAAAAGGCGAATAATCGAACACCCTAGTAAGTAGACCAAATTCCGCCCATCGATCGATAATTGAAGAAGATTTTCGTTTTCGGTGCCCTTAATATAAATTTTCTGCTTACAATTTTTATGGAATATTTTAACACCCTAACTAGAATTTATTCAAAGCAGGTTCAAGAAAATCCGTTGTGGTAGGTGCTAATGGGTTATCGTTTTCTATAATAAATGCAGGAATTATGTTTGTAGTAGTTTTAGACATACAATTTATGCAATTTTTGGTAGCCACGCAAAAATCAGGTTTTCGTTAAAATAGAGAGCAACAGATTCATCCAGATGAAACCAAAATTTCAATAAAGCCAAGTACATAGAGAATTAAAATATTTGTATGGGTTAAGGCGGTTTCACCTGTCTCACCGAGAGCTCAAAAAAATACGCTGAATTGCATGTAGGCAACTAAATATATCATTTACTGTTTGCTTCAGAATAAAATAAAATGTGCCGAACTGAACGTTGAACCGGCCGCACTTCAGTAACCTCTCCGACAATAAATTTACTGCTGAAAGCAAATAAACAGCTGTCCGGACACCAATGGTGAATCCGGCTTTACTATGCATTTAAAGAACTGGAGTGCCCAAATTAAGTATAGATGGAGTAAAATTGAAAAACACGCTCTCGAAATTTTAATTTTGAAAATTTATTCTTGAAAAGGAGAAGGTTATCAATTCGTCAATTCTTTATGTAAATTACTTGATCAACGACTGGCGTGCTTTGTTGAACTCGGTAAAAATCGCTTAGGCAGTTACAGTGCCAAATAAGAAGAAGAAGACATTACTTGATATTAAATATGATTTTAATTCTTAGAACTTGCTTTTATTTTGTCTATGACTACTAGGCCAAAATTAAATGGTTTTTAGAAAAGGCGTACAAGATTTTTCTAACAATTTTTATTTTTTTTCGAAAGTAAATAAAATACCTTTTAGTTTATTTTTTCGCCGATAGAAGTTAACTATTAATATCGAAAATTACCTTTCATTTAAAATTTTTTATTTTATTAATTATGCGTAAAAAGTTGTTTCTATGTAGTTTATCATCGTCAAACATTTGGCTTAAATCATGTACTGGTTTTGCCACATTTTTTTTTTTTTTGCCAATAGATACCTACGTATGTATGTATGTAAAACGCCAACCAAAAGTCAAGATCGCGAAGACGACAAAAATGGCCTTCGAAATAGCCAACTGGTTTTAATTTATTATAATATGTGTCTATACTTATGTATGTATGTATGTATATGTCGCACACACAAATTTAATCAAACTAACAAATATGAAATCATGTTTGATTATTAATGAAGAAGAATTACACAGCAGGGTCAAGTTTATTTAAGAAAAACCTGGAAAACTATTTCAGTGCCTTTGCAAATGATGCAAACGTGCAACAACGGTGGCCAAGCCTACTTTATTCCAAGAACGGTGCGCTCCTTGTTCTTTAATTGAAGGCCACCAAAACTGATTCGCATTATTTGTTTTAACAAAGTAAATAGAAGGTGGAAAGCTCATCGTTGTCATAAACATATTATACCTCGTCGGAAGTGATGCTTCTCTTATAAAGCCATCTGTGATCCGGAAGGCCCATATATGTAACTGTAGGGCCCTCCATTTGTGTGAAAACATCAAGACGTAGATCACGAATTGCAGCTCAGTCAAGCAGCTTTCCTTCTGCACTTCACAGATACTTTTACATGGTTCTAAGGAAATAAAATTAAATTAAGAAGCGCCTGACGGAATTCGGCACCTTCTGGAAGCTAACAAATAGCGGCACACTCCTCTGCACGCTCAGCCACTGCCAACTACGCATGCATGCTTTCAAATGTTTAGCTTAAGCAAATAAAATACAATTATTGCTTTCAAATGATATCATCTTTTTCGAACGTTTCGAACGTTTTCCGCATACGAAAATTGATGATAACTGTAGCAGTTTTTTCTATTCCTTTTCGGATACGAAAAATTGAACTAAACTGCACTGTCGGAAAAATTTACGTTTCTTTGCTGGCTGGGATACTACATATATATATCATGCCCTAACCGCCAAAAAGATGTAAGCGGTATTTTTTTCAAAATTTCTTTTTGATGCAGAAATTTTCTTACAGCATTTACGTAGAAACGTTTCCACATAAAAAATAAAATTTTGAGGAAAAATGTCGCTTGCATCTTTTTGGCGGTTACGGCTCGATATGATCACCGAACATTTTATATAAACACTAACACATGAGCGGAAAATCCTTTCCATTTGTATATTTCTTGTCTAATTTTCATTTAGTCGTTGGTTTTACGTTAAAATATTATGAACTCACCAGTTTTGGAGATGCCATGGTAAAGCTCGCAGCAGATCACAACACAAACTGAAGCGTAGCCCCCATTATGAATGAACATTTCGCCTCGGTTTGGATTTAAAATAGTAATATACATACATACATAGATATTTACATATGCAGATACTACCAGAAAATCAACAAAACTTAAAATGAACTAGTTAAAAGACAATATTGTGATGATGACGATGGTGATTACAATAGGGCAGAGAATACATACATTTGTGTCGCTTATTGATCATATTGAAATAAACGAAATACGGATACATAAAATTCGAAAATTTATTTTTTATTACGATCTGATCTGTTGCAGCCCAGGTAGGCGACGCCTTCATGCAAGGCAACTTCGAGGAAAATTGCAGTCGCAATATGCAGCCTGCAGTTTCGCCACTAAACCACTATACCAGCTCAACGAGGAGGGCAATATTCAATAAACCGAAATATCCAAGCAGTTGAACTACATCGACGACTCATTACGTACCGTCGCGCGAAACTAGTTGGTTTGCAACGTCCCCAAAAGGGTAACGATTGGGAATTTCAGGAAGCTGCAGAGCAAAATAATGCCACCTAGATAACCTCGCCTCGATTGAGCGCAACTCAAGCTATGTGGGACCCATATAGGCAGCTAAAGACGGAAGCGACTTGTATTTTCCATAATACATATAAAGAGAGAATCCGAAATAAGTGATTGCGAAGAGTTTGGAATGCTGGCCGATAGCAAGAATGGCCGAAAATTTGTCAGAAAGTTAGGCAGACCAACACTTAAATCAACAGATAAAAAAATGAGCCAAATTTGTAATGTAATGGCAAGGCGAAATTCAAGAATTCTTCTCTTCTTTTTCAATTAACAAATACTGAAATTAAGCGTTGAGAGTTAATTTTATTTAAAAATAAATATGAATAAAATTTTTATATTTGTGGAAAAATTTACAAGTATTACTTCAAGTATGGGCAGCTTCGTCTATACAATTGTGGAAGAGCAACTATTGCTGCACTTCTTTGTTTAACCGGCCCCAGACATTAAAGCTTTTGCACTTAATTTACGATTCTTCAACATATAGCGCGGCTTGTAACCATCCTTGTCCGCTGTATACATCGTCACTGTCTCCGTATCGGTCTTCTCATCGTACACTGTGTACATACCCATTATGACTAGTTGTTCATCTGGTGTATCTGGATTCATTACAACACCGATTTCCTCGCGTTTACTGCCATTTGGCTCCTCCAGTCTGCACGAATTCAAATTAATAAATTACACATGTTTTAATGCTTCGACAACTGTATCACTTACTTGAAGCGATAACCCTCCTTTGTGGGCACTTGGCTGTAGAACTCCGTCTTGATGGCAGGATATATGTAATCCAGTAGACCAGCATTTACCGATATGGAAAAGGTGGCAAAAATTGATAGAGCAAGTAACTGAAATTATAGAATTTTAATTCGTTTATATTAGTAAGAACTCATTGGTTACCAACATAGGACTTATGATACACATATCGATAGAAGTTTTTTTTTTAAATAATTTTTTATTAATGCAGAAACGTATCTGATTGCTCTAGAAACATTTCTGCGCCAAAAACATTATTGAAAAAATATCGTCTACATATTTTGGCGGTTAGAGCTCGATATGTAAGTTACTTATTTTAACTGCTATCTCTTACGTAGGCTATGCCAGTAAATAATTTCTTCAAATCAATTACTTTGTAGGGAATATGTCACGTGAACTAATGTTAGGGTCATAGACTACGGATCTGTATGCCGTTTTTCTGGATCAGGTCATTTTTTCAAAGATATTTATGTTTGTATTGTGAATGAGAAAATTCAAACTTAAACAGTGAAAAATTAAAAAATAATAGATTTTTTGTATTTCTTTCATTTGTATTTAAAGCCTGTTCTTTTACAAAAGAATCATGCTACTAACAAATAAAATCATTGGATAAATAAACAAGAAAGCCATACTCGTATGTGGCCACACTCGTACACGGCGTATGAGTAACATTTTCCATGTTAAACGTTTGAATTTATTTTCATACGCAATGCCAACTTAAAATGAAAGTACTTATGTGGGTGTACCCCACTATATCCAAAATCAAAATCCCCATATTAAAGTCCCCAAAATCAAAATCTCCAAACTCAAAATCTCGCGATTTTAAACCTAATTTGAATGTATTTCACACAGAAAATGAAGATTCTATATTCGACATTATTTCTCAAACTTAAATTGAAAACAAATTGTATGACGAATTCACAAATCGTCACCTGAAAGGCAAAAAGACGTAACAACATTATAACTGAAATGGAAAAAGTCGTGACTAAAGATTTTTATCTTTTTCTTAATATGATGTGGGAGTTGTAATTTGATGAAATACATCATATCAATCAAAAACTGAATTTTGAATTTTTTATTAGTTACGACTTTTTGAATTTCAGCGACGATGTTTGTTACATCTTTTTGCATTTCAGGTGACGGAATATTTAGTAGGTAAATGAAAGTTAAAAGAAATGTAATATACCGCAATAACTTAGAATATATTTAGCACGAATTTACATAACCACATAAACCATACACGATTCAAGTCATGGTGAAACCGTGGTGGATGAAGTAAAAAGAGCGATGGACTTGGGCGAGCCTAAGATATTTACCAAAAATTGCCATCTTTCACACAGATTATTTTTAGAGCATTATGAACCATATTTTTGCTATTACCAATCAAAATTCTAAAAAAAAAATGGATTTTCGGCCCACCGTATAACATGTGATCGACAAAACAGTCGATGTGTTTAACTGAAGGATGTACCTCCGAAGACCTGGCAACAACACTCATACGCCATGTCAGGGGCTGAAATGAATTTTTATGAGTAACATTAAGTCATTTGTTTACTAATTTTCTGTCACTTTAACTTTCACACTCATTAAATCAAATTCTGTTCCTTTACTCATTATTATTATTATTTTTAAAAATGCACACGTACTTTTATTATCTCACTTATGCTCTTTGAAAGCTCTTTAGTGATTTGTTTTATATTGAAAGTATAACTTTAAATTAAAGCAAATAAATATGACACATAAATTTATAAAGCAATAACAAGTAATTTTTAAGCAAAGAACTAAACCAACTTCAGTTCACATATAAAAGTTTTCATGTTCCAATGATCGGATAATGGGACCACCACGGAGGTACCTACCACCTTTCCTTAAAAAAAAAATTATTGAAATCGGTTAACGCGGTTCAAAGTTATGCATTAACATACATAAAAAGAAATAAATAAAAATAGTAAGTACTTTCATATCACAGTTCAGTATTTTTGACAACACAATTTTTAAGTTTGAATCAGAATACTTTCGTTTATCATTGTTAGCCGAAAGTTTTTTTTCCGGTCATTTAAAAATTAAATAAATTTCAATTTTTTTAAATAACTAGCAATCTTATATATTTTTTAACTGACCAGTTTTACAGAAGCCATGATGCGTTGCAACACGTTTAAGATCAAGTCATCGACTGATTCACTGTAATCAAAATAGTTTTGCTTGACGGTTTGGCTTCGCATCTTTGAAGAGGTGTAATAACTAAATATGCAAGAATGCTAAAAAGCCAGCAAACATATACATACACATCTCCATTATTTCTTACATAAACTCGTATATATATATACTTACATAAAGGTGAGTATGTATGCATCTTCGATAGCTGAAACAAACCTCAGAGCAGCCATTAACAACTTAGTAGTCAGTTCTAAAATTTTATTCAATTTGTTATTTATTCCTATTGTCCCTTCAATGCTAATATATAATCATGAATCGACAGGTGTAACACTGGCATCATGCATATTGCACTATATCTGATACCATTGACAGTTGCAGTTTTTTACATACATATGTATGTACCTATATGTATACGTAAATAAATTAAATTATATTTTTCGAAATTTCTATTCTCTTGCGGTAAAACCAGCCTTAGTCACATAGCAATGCGTGACTTTGCGGCAATCTGCTCCACGAAAATCAAACACATGACCTTTGAGGTGGAGAAAATGCAAAAGATTACAACAATGCATGAGTAAAACATTTAACAGAGATAATGAATAGTGGTAAAATAATTGTTGTTTTGCAATATTTAATGAATGAAAAAACTGAGTAAGAACTATTTGAGAAAAATTTCTTCAACAACTTACACTAGGGTATGGCGAAAAAAAAACAATTTTTCAATTTCGAAATTCCAATAGGGCCGAAAACGTTGAACCAATTTAAACCGAAACACCCGACATGTAGAACCCATATAGGTACGGTGACCATCCGTCCTGTAATATACGGGACAGTCCTCTCTTTGGACCCATTGTCCTGGTAATTTATTTACTTTATACGGGACGCCAAATGTTCTGTGTTTTTTTTGATGTCCTGTATTTGTCCCGTATTCGGTGTTCCGACGCATTAACAGCTCATTAAATAGTCATGCCTATGAACGAGTTTTAAGTGATGTTGGTATATGATCGTAATTTCTTTATAAACAGTTATTATTATTATTTTCTAATACATACATACATACATACAGTGACCAAAATAGAAATTAGGACTCGACATTTTAGTAAGTTTTGGCTATTTTTCCTTAGTTTATTTAATGTTTATTAATTATTTTATGAAAGTAAAGCTCTTTTCCTAACAAAACCATATGATACCAAATTTCGAACATTGTGCAAAAAATTATAAAAATTAATTCTGAAATCTTTCGCCAAAATTTCAAACTTTTTAATTAGAATCTTTAGAAAAAAATTTGGTTTGCAGTTTTGTAACTCATTAAAATTGAGTATAATAAAGTGCGAGTGGAAAGTGCTGCTCATTTGCTTCTCTTTCAAAAAAAAAAAATGGTTGAACATACTTTGTATGAAAAAATGCAATGTAACACCGCCAACAAAAAAAAATTCCAAAAATTTGTGGTAAGCTCTGCCGACTTAAACTTGCACTTTATTATAGTAAAGTTTAACGAATTTTTTAACAAATTTTACGGGGTAATCTCGAGAAAATTATCCTACAAATGTGTGATGTTACTAAAAGGATACTGTTTCAGGGAAAACGGTGTGGATAAAAATTTCAAACATTTTTTTTGTCCCGTATTCGGCTCTCATAAATATGGTCACCCTACATATAGGCAGCTAAAGAGGAAAGCGACACGTATTTTCCATAATATAAAGATAGAATCCAAATTAAGTGATTGCGAAGATTTTGGAATGCTGGCCGATAGGAAGAACAACCGAAAAGTTTGTTAGAAATCATCAACACGTAATAAAAACGAGCAAAGCCCACCTAATTTTTAATATAATGGCAAGGCAAAATTCAAGAATGCTTCTCTTCTTTTTCAATTAATACTGAAATTAAGCGTTAAGCGTTAATTTTATTAAGGTTACACTCTAAAAAGTGCATGTAAAACTACTACCGAAAAGTGTTTATTTTTCAACCAGAATCTGTTCAAGTATACGCAAAAGATGTTCAAGATTTGATTTTGAACATGAGTTGTTGAAAATATAGACATGAAATATTTTAAATTCCCAACATTTCGAAAGTAAAAATATATTTTTTACAAATAATAAATACTAAGTGCCAGGGGCGCACGCAGGAATATATTTTTGGGGGGCGAAGGATTTATACTTCTAAATATATATCATCAGAAAATACTGAAAATTCACTCTTCAAAATACATTTATGCAAGTTTTATGTACAGTATGAAATAAATAAATAAACTTTTTAAAGTTTCATCAATTGCATTTTATTTACATAAAATTTACAAAGAACTCAGACATTTTCAACCGGCTTCAAAAAAGTGGAGGCTATCAATTCTTCGGAGTATTTTTACTTCTTTTATTTATTCCACCGCATAACTTCATACCGCGTGAACGGATTCCAATAATCCTTTTTTTACCGGAAAGATGGTACCTTAAGGGTCGTCCCGTAATTTGGTTTAGATCCGATCATGAAAATCATGAAAAAATTAACGGTTAAAGATGCACTCAACTTTCAAAAGTAATACAAAATTTTACAAAAGAATTTTAATATAAATAAATTAAATAATTTCACGAAATTTTTACACTGTTTTATTCATTTTCGTCGATTTCTGGTTTCTCATTTTTTAATACTTCGAATAACGAAAATTTAACTGAACTTGTATTTTTATCATGTATGTAACTCATTTTGGTGGAACGAATTCGAAGTTAACAAATTAAATCTTCGAATGCTTATTAAGTACATATCAGTGGTAAACTTTTTAAAGGCTGTAAAGTGTAAAAAGCGTTCAGTAAGTGAGTATGCATTGCGTATTTTTAGAACAATGTTTTCATTCGCAGTTAAACTTTAAAGAGCTCTCAAGAAAAATGAAAAATTCTTACAAAATGACGCACAAGAAATGGAAAAGAAATTTTTTTCTATCAAAATGTCTTAAATCATAATAAATTTAACCCCAAAACCCACCCCTTGTGTGCGCTACGTTACAAATTTGATATGTAAAA